GGAGGTCATAGCATCAAAAATGTAGCACAGCAATTTCACAACTGGATGGCTCTTAATTTTGACTCAGGATTGCCTGCCATAAAGTCTTTCTCTTCCTTCAGCAATTTTGGAATACTTAGTGCTAAATTTATTGTAAAAAGCCTGAAAATATGAAGAAGAGGTAAAACTAAGTGAAAATCTAGGGATTTCCCTTCAAGGTAAACATTTGTTTTAGGGACAAACTATTATCGTGAAACTTGAAGAGTTCCATAGTTCTTCCCTCTGTGTACTCAAACAGACCATCTCCTCAGTTCTTGACAGTACATCAACGCCTGACCATACCTTAGTCAATATCTCTTGACTGAGTCATCAGATTGAAGTATTTTATTGGCTTGTTTCCCAGATATGATGATGAACTTCAAATGCCAGTTTGATTAGTATATAAAGGATGTGCATGTAACCAATAACAACATTTCTGGGTGTGTCTGTGAGTAATTTTGGAAGAGATTAGCATTAGGATCAGTAGACTGTGTGGAAGGGCATATGCCAATCCACTGAACAGAACAAAAAATTAAAAGTATGACGGAGACTAAAAGGCACTTCTCTTTCAGGATGGGAACATTTATAAAAACTATTATCCTAAGTGGAAGGAATTGGAAATGCACAGACTGTGGATCAGTGGCGAGTGGGGGCGAAAACAATGTTTCCTCAAAGCAATCTACAGCTCAATTAATATGTGCAATCCTTGGACTTCACAATTTCCATTTTCCAAAATGTATCCTATGATAATGAAAATGTGGTACATATACACCATGGAATACTGTTCAGGGACATCTGTTAAGGGAAGTGAAATCATGGATTTTGCAGGTAAATGGAGAGACCATGAAATAATCATATTGAGTGAGGTAACGCAGACCCAGAAAGGCAAGCATCCACGTTTTCTCTTGCTGGGGGCTCCTGCCTCCAAATCTGCAGATATGAGTACGTAGCCTGGAGTAATGACAAAAACTAGGAGAGTAAAACAGGATCGTTGCCAGGATAGGGGTGTTGGGGAGCAATAGAGGGGGATAGTAGTGTACCAGTGATCTGATCCGGGAAAGGGGGGCTCTTCAGGTGGGGGAGGAAAGCAAACACAGAAGAAGGAGGGAAGGGGGTAAAGGAACAGTAGGACACAAGTGATCTGAGGGGATTTGGGGAAGGGGCACTTAGGGACCTGGGAAGAGGGAAGTGGGTGAAGTAACAGTAAGGATGTCTGAAAAAGCTGTAAGGAATCATGCCATTAACTATTTGCCTAAAACTAATTCTAATACCTGTAATTCTGTATATAAATATGCACTTATAGTTTGGGGGGTGTTTTTGTTTTTGGTTTATTGTTGGTGTTGTTTTGTTTTTTGTTTGTTTTTAGAGACAGGGTTTCTCTGTATAACAACCCTAGCTGTCCTGGAACTCAACTTGTAAACCAGCATGGCCATGAGCTCACAGAGATCCGTATTTACAGTTTTAACAAACTTTTCTCGTCTGGGATGACAATGCTCCCTCCAAGAACCAAAGACCTCCTAACCAGACATGAGAAGCCTTCTTTAGGGTTGTTGGCCAGTGATGTCCAAGAGACTCCCCCCAAATTACAGCCTATTGCTCCTGCCCCTGGTTGCTGAAGAGACCATGCACTGCAGAACAGGGCCCAGAGGTCCCCGAGCTGGAACTGTTCGGAAAGCCTCCTCTCCAAGGATTAGGTTTCATGGTACCAAAGGATGCCACTCAAGCTTCCAGAGGAGGGAAGCAACCAAGAGTCGAATCTAGCTGTAACACCTATGAAGCACAACACCCAGCATGGCACAGTAATCCTAGGGGGCATTAGTGGCATGCATACCTTGGTGGTAACCAATAGCTCTCTCATTGGATTCAAGACCTTCTCAAAAAGAGAGAAACCATGTCTGGGACAGGAAACCTGGCTTGCTACTCAGTGATAGGGAAGTCATAGATATTGCAGGAAAATCTACAACCACTAATTTACTAAACCGGCATAACCCTTAGGGACAATTTAAACATCTGTCCTTATACCGACAGATAGGTGTCGTGTTCACCCCTCCCTCATCAAGGAGACTTCTTGTAACAGACAGAGACCACTACAGGAAACCACAAACAATCAAAATGCAGAGTTGTGGAGCCCAGACCCAATGGATACATCTCCAATACACTCCCACACCTAAAGTTCAGGAAACATTGTAGAAGATGGGGAGGAAAGATTGTAAGAGCCAGGGAGTTTGCTATGAGGTTGTGCTTCCTAGTAATGTCAGAAATGACATCCATAAAATCTCACCAAAATCTCGTCCATAAAGTCAAAATGACTGTCCCAATAGGAGCTGGGACAGTAGGATAATAGACATGCCAAAGTGAAAGGAGAAAAGCCCATGAGGCCTCAGCCCTACCCTGGGACCTACAGGTAAATAAGGAATGCTAAAATTAGGAGAAATAGTCTTCTCCAAGGAAGAGCACACAATACCAAATGGTCAGCCCTGAAAACATGCGTACAAGTAGCATTATACAGACTGAGCAGGTTATATTTCAGCATATATATATATATATATATATATATATATATATATATATGTAGTGAACTAATCTACATTCCCACCAACAATGTGCAAGAGTTGGCCCTAAGTTTGGAGGAAAGCAAGGAGTGTATGGGAGAGTCTGAAGTGAGGAAAGGGAAGGAAGACATATTGTAATTATGTAAGGTTTTTTTTGTTGGTGGTGGTGGTGGTGGTTTTTCGAGACAGGGTTTCTCTGTATAACTTTGCGCCTTTCCTGGAACTCACTTGGTAGCCCAGGCTGGCCTCAAATTCACAAAGATCTGCCTGCCTCTGCCTCCTGAGTGCTGGGATTAAAGGCATGCGCCACCACCACCCGGCTACGTAAGTTTTTTTTAAATGTATCTTATGAAGAGAACTGGACCAAATGAGACAAAAAATAAAAACAAATAGATTCTAGTGCAATTTTATTTGACACAATTTTGAAACTGTCAATAAGCTAAATGGCAGAGCATTGGCAATCTATTTTATAGACATGAAGTAGTGTATCATACAGTCATTAAAATGCTGCGTAGTAGTACCTGACAACCTCTTTGGTCTCAAGATCCTTTCAGAATCTTGAAAATTACTGAGGACTCCAGGAAGTTTTTGTGTATTGTAGGTATCATGGCCCATTCTAGTGGGATTATTTTCCTTCCAAGGACCCTGCATAGGGGACATGGCTGACTGACATCATCTGGCCTCCAGCCATGGTACCTTCGGATACACTGCAAAGACATCCTGTCCCTGGGCTGCTCCAGGCAGCGACTGGATTCGCTGGGGAACTCAAAAAAAGTAGAAAATGAATCCCTTCTCACTGAGGAGTAACTATTACTAACCTTTTGCAGAAGAATGCATTAATCTGGGACTAGTTTGATCATGCCAGGCATGACCACCGGTAGTGACACTATACTCTGAACAAAATATAATTTATATATTCACAAAATATATACATTTATTAGTGATAAACCTGAGCTGCCCTGCTATGTATGCTTATATATACATAGTTTTTACCTAATTTATTTTATATATAATACATTTTGAAAAATTTGACTTTTTCTCCTGATTCTGAGTGGTTGTTACTGTGGGGTTTGGGGAGTTTTGTTGTTGCTGTCTGCTTCCATTCACTCAGGTTTGACCCAAGTAAGAAGAGGACAGAGCCCAAGCTGACCTGTAACTTGTGGCAATTCTCCTGCCTCAGCTTCCAGAGTTCTGGGATTATAGGGCTGCATAATCATGCCTGGCTACTCCCTCTCTTTTTAAAATCTCACCAGATGCTTTGTCTCCTTTTATTCATATTTTCAAAAAACAAAAACATCTAGGAAATTTAAAGCACTCTTAAAATGATGCATGAGTCAAAGAAGTCGTGCCAGTGATTAGAAAACACGAGGAAGAGAATAATGCAAACAAATAACCCCTGGCATACCTGTGAGATGCAGCTGTGGAGAGCCTAAGAGATGCTATCACTCAAAATTAGCAAGTCAGGCCTCTGATTCAAGAAAGAGGAGAAAATGAGTCAACCCAGAGTGAGTAGAACAGACACACTCAGCAAAAAGTACCCAAAATTGGTTCTTTCAGAGTGTGTATTATTAAATAAGCAAACCTATGGCCTGAGTGAAAAAATGGAACGAGCAGAGATCAGACATGAAATATGTAATAATCCTTTGGGCAAAATGGGTCGCTTCCAAAACACGTTGTAACTTACTAAGAGGACATGGTAAAGTGAAGAGGCCTCTATTAAGGACATTGACACTGAAAGAGGAGTTTTAAATATAGACACAGAACAGTTGGTAGCCCTCGCAGTAACTCAAGCACGTTCCTCTTGGGACAGGAAAGCCAGTGCCCTCTTGCACAGCAGTGGGCTGGACAAGTGCCAGATCCCGTGTCCCCACCCTGCCAAGGGGCCTGGATGTCAGGGGCACAATTTATATGACTCAGAGGAAGTACAGTTGCTTTACAACAGGTCAACCCTTCAGATCAATATGTGTACTTAGGGCACTAACTTAGAAAGTCATAAAAACGGAATGTGGCCTTTCCCACTCAACCAGTGGCTGGGAGCACTGCGGCTTTTAACCCGTTTTTGAAACAATAAACTCTAGTAGTTGTAACAAAGTTGCTTCCAGGAGATATAAAGTGTCTCTTTCACCTAATCTGGGACCTACAGAAGTCTGACAGTTAAAACAACCATGCAGGGCTTGCAAAGGACAGGGCAAGTGACGAACCAAGAACCAGAGGTGCTCTCAAAACGAAAGCGATGACAGTTTTAAGTGTGCAACACTAATTTATCTGGAAAAACACGCGCGCTTTCCAGATCCAACTCTCAGGAGCTCTTCCAGCCCCCTGGCGGGCATAGTTCCGCCTCCTTGCCTGGCCTCAGGCCACCGCCCTCTGGGTACCTGGCTGTGTCCCCGGAGCACCTTGCAGCCGCCCCAGAGCCCCAAGGCGACCCACCTCTTCGGCGTCCTGGCCCAGTGGGATGCCCAGGCTCTGCAGCCCCTGCTGCAGCTCTCCGATGTCCACCACGCCGTCTCCATTGCGGTCCAGCGCCCGGAAGAGCGTCTCGTAGCGCGTGGGCGGTTCCGCGTCCTGGCAGGCTGCGGTGGGCAGCACGAAGGCCCGCAGCCAGCGCAGCATGGTCCCGGGGAAGTGACTGCGGGCTGCGAGCTGGCCCGGCGCGATCCGGATGGTGAGGCCTGGCTGGGTGGGGCGGCAGCGGCAGAGCCTCTGGAACGTCGTCGGGGGGCGAGGCTTCTGGCTCACAGGAACCTAGCTGGGCGCAGGGTGTGGCCGCCCAGCTGCTGCTCGGGGCGGAGCTGGCCCAGGCCTGGGTTGGCTGCTGGGACGGGCTGGGCCAGATTCCCGCCCTCCCGGAACGTGCAGGCAGGCGGGATGGGGTGCTCGGACGCGGGAAGGGTTTCTGCTCTGTCTGAAGCCCCTCGAGCAAAGCTTTGCCTCCAGCTCGTTAAAGCTTGGTGTGCAGAAGTGTTTTAAAGGGCAGGTTGCTCAACCTCAAAGGCCCATTGGAGAAGTGCTGTTTATGTTCGCCAGAAGGATGGTAGTGGGTAACTGGGATGGCGAGTCCATTGTGGGAAGGTCTATCAGATCAAAAAGAGCAGAGAGGCCTTTTTCAGAGAACAGCATCGGTCACCCAGGAGGCCGTAGAGAAAGGAGGGGAGATAGAGAAAAGAGGGTCCCTTCCCACAGCACACAGAGAAACCTTAGCTCCTTCCGCTCAAGACAAGTGTGATTCTGAGGTTCGGCACACAGTTCAGATGAGACACAGTTTCGAGGATAACGGGAGAAGCATTCATCTACAGAGAGAAGGTCCGAGCCCTGATCCTCAGCTGCGTAATTCCAAGGACGGGATGTAGCTTCCCTGAATAGCCTCTCATCGGTAAAATGAGAATATGAACAGCTGCCTCGCCATCAAGTAGGATGCCCCTTGACTGGAATATTCTCCGTTCAGTCGCTCTACTCAGTAGAAACTGTGGTTATATCCTGTTGTCTTTGGGTATTTAAAATGAAAACTAAAACCACCTGTTTCTTCAAAAGCCAGGGTCTAAGTTCTTGAATTTACCTCCTTCCCTACCATTCCGTTTAAAACGTAGTGTATGAATATTAAGTCTGTAGATAAGGGCTGCCTGCTGTTAATAAAAATCGTCCTGAAACCAGCTCCTGTACTTCAATTGTTTCCACACTGTAGTCTTGGGAAATAGCCCCTTCCGTGGGAAAAGCCCTTAGACATCATCTGTTCTTGTTACTTCTCCTTGAAAACGGCGTCAAAGGCCCTCTCGGGAGATCTGCTGCTCTTGAGAGAAGACCCTTGCAACCCAGGAACCACCGAAAGGTTCCTGAGTGGACAAACTCCTAAAGAGCCAGTAGTGCGTTCACAGGAGGAAACGCCTCTCCGCACTGAAAAGCAGTCGCTGCCAGGCAGCTCGCATGGTAGGACGTTCTGGAAAAGAACAGATCTGGAACTGCAAGAGTTACGAGTTATTTTTATTGTGGGGAGGGGTGATATCAAGAGCAAAGGGCGGCATGCTGATGAGGGTGGTGGGACTTCCCTAGATCTTGATTACGAAGGTGTTTACAGTGTGTGCTCATCAGAAACCTACATGGGTTTATTTTGTTCTGTGGTAAAGAGTCTCAGTAGAGCAGACTTTAAAAACCAGTCTTAAACAGGAACGAAATGGAATAAAGAATTCTTAAACAAGCACTGTGAAAATCAAATATAAGTTTGCGAAGTGGAGCCATTGGTCTGCAGAGCCAGCATTATGAAATGCTCGGAAACAAACTTCAGGTCTGTCTGCCCAGGCTTCCTGCATAGGAATCACACAGAAACAAGAGCGGTGAATGGTTTGGGAAGAAGAGATAAATGTGTGCCGCTAGGCAATGAGACATTGGGGAGATTCAGAAATTCGATCGGCTTTTTGTTTGTTGAATCTAATAAAAACGTAGGCCTATCTGCTAATCATCTGGGAATAAGTTTTACTGTTTTATGAATATATGTTCAATGGATTGAGAAACATCGTACATAACTGCTGTAGTTTGGATATGGATGTCCCCAGAAACACCCGTGTTGAGATCCCGGTCCTAAGCTTAGCGCTGTGGAGAGGGGGTGGAGCCTTTTGGAGGTGTGGCCTACTGTGAGGTCTTCCGGCCAGTGGGGGAGAACTGTACCATGGGGGCTGTAGACCCCCAGCCTCTGTTTCTTGCTACCCAGCCATGAGGTGAGGTTTTATTCCACCCCGCACTCCCAGCTGTTGTCATCTACACACATGCACGTGCGCGCGCGCGCGCGCACGCACATACACACACACACACACACACACTCCACCCTATCACCCCGTACCCCCAACCGCAAAGTGGCCTATAAGCAGTGGGGTCATGTGACCATGGACTGGCACTTCTGAAACCTTAAGCCCAGGAGAACCTTTCCCTACTTATAAACTATCTCCGCTGTTTGCTATGATGGTGAAGGATGGCTAATACAGATAACAGTCACAGCAAGTTTCTGCACGGGAGAAGAAAACATCTGTGGACTTCACACGTCTCCATGAGAGGTCTTCCTTTCCTGTGTCTGTTGGTAAGGCCCACGGGCCAGGGGCTCCCACAAAGGCCATACAGAAAACCCTGAACTCATATTTGTTTTACTTGACTCATTTCTGTGGTCAGGGAAAACGTCTAGCATTCAGCCTAATTCAGCACTTCTGCTTTAAAAGGCTTCTGGCCTCCTCCTGTCCTTCATTTCCATGGAAACAGCAGACTGCTTTGACCTCATCCATCTTGATCCTTGAAGACTTCAGCACCGACTTTGGATTTCTTGGGGTGGTAGCGGCTCTGCTTGAATAACCACTCTAGAGCCTCACAGTTTGAGCAGGTAAGCGTTTGCTCTTTTTACCAGCAGCTACTGATTGCCCTGATAAAGACAAAGCACCAGCCCTCCACGAGGACCCATTCTACCCGGCGTGTTTAACAGCTTCACTGTACAGCTATGATCATCGTAGGAAAGGGGGTCTTATCATGCAGCAAAATATGACCCTGGATGTCCTAGCAGCGCAGTGAGGAAATAACCATTTCAGGTTTAGGCTCCTTCATACCACATCAAAGCTACTTGGAAATTCTATCATACTCTCCAAGTCATTTAGGAGTCCGAATTCCAGGTTAAAAGGCGGATGAATTCTGTCTCTTGCCCAGACTATCTACCAACCCCTTCCCAAAATAAATGCAAATAATTCTCAGTTGTAAAAGCATGGCACTAAATTACTAACATCACCACCATTACTAAATCATGTGAATACTTCACATTTAAAAGTAATTGTAATTGTTTTAAATAATAGAGTTATAACTGGCTTTAAAATCGTGCCTCAGCATTTTGAAAATTATTTTAAAAGCTGTGTTAAAACTTCAGTGTTTCAATATTTATTCAAATTATGTCCTGAAAACTATACATTTAGTGTAAATAATGTGAATATTTTTAATAACAATAATCATAGGCAATGGATCGATCTTGTATATTTCCACTTTATAATAAAATACCGATAGTCTCTCTTCTTCCCTCTATGTCTCCTCTGTGCTTTCGTTACCCTCTTCTCTTCATCTCTGGTCATGCATGCTTCCTTCTTTCCCTCCCTCTTTCCTCCCCATCCCTTTTTCTTCTTTCCTATCTTCTTTACAAGTTAAGAGACGCCAGGCAAGTCTGAGGGATGCAAGCTGTGTGGTAGGCATTAAAGGTGGCTGAACAGGATGCCTGACTGGATTGAGTGAGTAGTTCCATACAGGAGAACAATCTGAATGTAATCACGAGGAAACGTCAGATAAACCAGAGTATTCTACAGTCTGTAACCTTTAGATCTGTAAAGATAATGAAAGTTGAGGAATGATTTAAACAATGTTCTTGGATGAAAAAGACCAGAAATAGCCGGGTGGTGGTGGTGGTGGTGGCGGTGGCGGCGGCGGCGGCGGCGGCGGCGGCGGTGGCGGTGGCGGCA